GACCTTTAATTGGGCAAAACAGTGCATCATTGGGCAACAATTTTTGAACCAAGGTACTCTTGGAAGAGTACTTGGAAGCTTCAGCTACTTCAGAATGCAGCAGTGTGAACAATTCTGCACCACCCTAGACTTGCTCATGTGTCACATCTGAGAGTTGCATTGGCTGCCAATCTGCTTCCAGGTACAATTCAACATGCTGAAGCCCTGCATGATTTAGGCCAGATTATTTGAAGGACCTCCTCTCCCTTATTACATCTGTCTGACCTACCAGGAAAGGAAGGCGGGGCATATTATGGGTCCCATCAATTAAGGACTGCCATCTGGCGTGATCACAAAAAAGGCCTTCTTGGGGCTGGCCCTTTCTTTATGGAACATCATTCTCCATGGGGTATGGTTGGCCCCCACCCTGCTGCTTTTCCAAAAGGTCCTAAAACATGGCTTTGTCAGAAGGCCTGGAACCATAAATGGAAATGGAGCCGATCAAGTGGCTGATTTGCTTGTATTGTTGATGTCATGAGGAGAGGGATTTTTTTTTTTAAATGTGTTTTATTATATAGTGGATCTTTACATTTTTTTTCAATGTTGTAAGCTGCCTGGAGTCACTATGTGTGAGTTAGGCAGTTATATAAATTTGCTGAATAGACAACCAATTTTTGAAACAAGCTACCTCAAGTGGCTTAAGTTATAGAATGTGTCCAAAATCTGGGCCCCATGATTCCTAAGAGAATGAAATTTGAGAAAGTTTTGGCTGCTTCAACACTAATGACTATTGCTGCACTGCCTGGCTGCTGCTGTAGTCACATGATCTTCATTTTCAGAGTTCTCTGACAGTTTCTCAGCCAATCTGACAATCTCACTTCCTCTTCCATCCAGCAGCAATCACTTACTTGCCTGCTGGAAAGGAAAGGGAAAGAAAGGAAAGGAAAGGAAAGGAAAAGAAAAGAAAAGAAAAGAAAGAAGGAAGGAAGGAAGGAAGGAAGGAAGGAAGGAAGGAAGGAAGGAAGGAAGGAAGGATTTCTAATGCTCCCTGACAGCTTCCCACAAGAAAACTTAATGGGTAAACAGCAGGAAGACAGAAGTTGCTCCCACTACTTTTTTGCTCACCTGCAGCCATTTTGTATCTCTGATTATGTTTATGAAACAATGACCCAATGGGGCACAGGTTGTCTAGCTGTTACTATTATTACATATTATCTATGCATAGTTTACCAGATAGTTATCACTGGATTTGGTACTTTTGATATTAAATACGTCATAAAGATCTAGGTTACTTCAATATGATATGATTTTAATATGCGCTGTTCCAAATAATGCAATTTTTTTCGTAATTGATGGCTTGAGATTCTGTCCATTCCTAATGTGGCCAGAGGTTTTTTCAGAACTATTGTTATATAATTGTTGTTATTCAGCATATGTTTTATTAATCTGGGCTATACTGTAGAGGAAATAGCTATAAACAAATTAACATAAAAGCATTTTTTAAAGAAAATTTCCATGGTAATCTTAGGTAAAGCATTTTGGAATAGTTGTAGCTTAGTGATAAAGCAAATTAGTTCTCAAACTCAATCCTCAGCATTTTCAATAACAATAGCACTTAGCTAGAGTTGAGACAGTATTTCAGATTTCAGAGAACACTATCAGACTACTTTAACTCAGGAAAAGATGATTTGATATATTTCCTTTTGTTTTCTTTGGTCATGAGTACCAGATAGATTTGAATTATTGCCTTTTCAGAAGCTGGTCTACATCCCTGTTCTTTGAGCTACCTAATTGATTTGTACCTGTATTATTCTACTTCTGCTGTTCTCTTTTCAGCTATGATTGATCAAGACCTTTTCTTTCCTTTTTATAATGATTAGAATAATCATGGTAGTGGATCACACGAAGGAGCAAAGGGAGATTTTTTTTCTTTGTCATTTAAAGGTAAACTTGGAGAGGTCATCCAGTTTACAGGTATCTTTAGGAGCTTCCATTGCCAAGCAACTGGGTGATGTTAAGGAAAAATATACCATGTGACTGTGTGGTACTGTCATGATCTGCTCCAAAGACATTTTTTAAACAAAGTTTCATTGCTTTGAATATTTTTAGGCTGTTCATTTTAGTAAAATTGTCTAGGTTTTTTTTTTATATCACTGGATTCAATGCTAACTTTTAATAATGTGTCCATATAAATGCATGGTTCACATTCAGAATTCTGTAAACCCAATTATCTGAATTGATATGACATACCATAGCACAAATTGATAACCATGACTAAGTGTGTAAAATGTGTTAGACTAAAATATGATTGGCTTATTTGTGATTCAGTATCTTGGACAAACTCAGTTAAATGATCCTGTAAGTCTTGTCTTGGATCTTCTTGACTCCCATAAACTATTCTATTTCATTATTTGTTTAAAATAATTTGATTTCGCTAGACAATAGAGAGAGACGATTCTTAACAGCAGTGGGTAGGAGCTCGTCATACCATGGATCACCAATCATTCTGAGATTTCTGTAATAATCATGGATGACATAGTTATATTTTTCTCAAATTTACAATAGAGATGCAAGTCAAATACATGCAATATATACAGGGAAGATTCCCCATTACATATTCCCCACATGCTTAGGGCTGTATACTTGCTTTTTATGCAAATGTTTATTATACAGTTGTTTCATCAGACAAGTTGGTTGTTGATTTGTCTCTTTCTAGGCATAATGAAATATAGTTGTTTTATCTTTGGAGCCATTTATGGCTTGAGATTTGAAGAACTAGTGTAGATATCAGAAACTGGCATCCTTGAGTTGCTTTTTAGGCTCCAATAAGGTCTGGTATCTTTCTCCAGAGTAATACCAGACAACATTTCAAATATTGTACAGTGCCCATAATGAACTATACTCTTGGGTACTAAGGAAAAACAATTATGTTTACAATCTGTCACACTGTCTAAATTCCAATATTATCAAGCAAAACACCAGAGGTTTTTAATGTAAAAAGAGAATAAGAACACTTAGAACCAGACTTGGTAAATCACTCAGAGAATTGATTGTTTCCATACACTATATCCATGACTAGATATAAATTTATCCATCACAAGCTTTTCTTAGGATTGCATGATTGTCTGAGATAGGACCAGTGATTACTTGGAAAAGGCACTCTGGAATCTATCACATAGATCAAAGGTGGACAAAATTTAAGCAATCAAGAAGGGGTGTAGTCAAAAATATTTTTTCCATTTTTTATTTTTAAGGGTAGAAACAGGAGAAAAATATTTCTCAGAAGGAAACCACATTCTAATCCATCCCAATCACTATTCCCAATTAGCCAAAACTATATGTTTGAAATTTCTATGTTTTTAAGATGCTGGGAATGAGGGCATTCAAAATGAAATGGGACTGATTGGCTTCTGGGAGGCATTTTACTCCTATAGATTAAATGATTGATTGATTATGTGCATCATAATGCTATCAACTACAAGTGACCACATAAGATTCTTTTCCCATGATGATCTATCTCTAAGCTGGTCTTTCAAGCCTTCCAATGGTGTACTCACCATCGCTATAACTGAGTTCCTCTATCTTGCAGCTGGTCACCATCTTCTTCTCTTTCTTTTCACTTTTCCCAGTGTTAGAGCTTTCCAAAGATTTAGATCTTTACATAATGTGTCCAAAGTAGGATAATTTTAATCTGGCCACTTTTGCCTTGAGTGAGGACTCTGCTGCATTGATTTGTTCAATGATCTATTTCTTTGTTTTATTGGCTATCCATGTATTATAAGAAGTCTTCTTCAACACCAAAGTTCAAAAGTATCAATAATCTTCCTATCCTGCTTCTTAAACTTAAACTTCCATTCAGTGTCATAGTGTCAGATGCCAACAATCAGACCCACACATGTAGAGTTCCAACTAGCTAATTTATTGTTCTCTGCAGATTACATAGTAATCCCTCAAAACTGGCAGCTTTCATCTGGAAACAAGCAGATAAGGCTTTAAGGCATTCAGAGTGGGTCAGACCTAACCCTCCTGTGTTTATGTGGTTAGTCCATGCTGATTCCTCGCTTGAGCGCTCCTCCGAACTTGGATGGTTGCACTCCAACATGAAGGGAGTACCATAGCTTGCATGATTTTGATATTTGTAGGTAGGGAGACATTACTGCATTTGAATATATTTTCCAAGGCCTTGATTGCTCTATCAAGTGCTAGTTTTGATTACTTTTTTTTTTTTTTACTATTGATGGCTGATGTTAAAAGGTAGATTCTTCCTTTCTTCTTGATTAATGTCGGTGCAAGCAACCAGAAGCATTTATGAATAGACTCTAACAGATATTTTATTGTTGTAATTTATATTACAAAAATCTTGCTGGACTGTCTGCCTTCCCTTGGGAAATGGTAGATATTGACCTAAGAGTTTGACCTGAGACATTTCTTCCCTCAAACCAATTCCAAGTTGTAGCCATTGATTCCATCACACTAGATTCTTGTATGGTGATGGAGCATAATAAACAAACAAACAAACAAACAAATTTCATAGTTTTATAAGTAATATTGCTTGATAGCCATTCTTCTGAGGGATTCCATAGGGACCTGAAGATTCTGTCTGTCTGTCTGTCTGTGTACCTCCCTCCCCGCCTATCTACGTACCTAATAAATATATTAAAAATCTCACCACAGCAGATTTTACACTGACTTGCAACAGTTCAAAATCAGGAATGATTGCTTATGTGGGTTAACACTAGGCTCAGAAAGTGAAAATAACCTTTCATAAATGATGAATGCCAAGTATCAAGGCAAACAGTAGTTGGCCAAGACTTGAAGGTAATCTTTAAATCCTTGACATCAAGTACATTCAAATATGAGAAATCACTCTTGCCAGATTTATGTGGGCTACAAGCAAAAACCAAACAACCTCTCAAACTTGAGGAAATAATATGGTTCAATGTATTTTATCTTTTCAACAAAGAACAAGTGATATGTCTGATAAAGTTTTGTAGACATTTCAGGATGAAAGTTATACTGACCTGTAAGGACCTTGAAAGTAGCCTTTGTATGAGTCTCATACACATTGGTCATAATCTAAGAGGCTCAGGAGATTGGTTTTCTGCATTCTTGCATTCAAACTGCAAAAAAAAAAAAATCTTTCAAGACAACTTTTCCTAGGTAACGTCTTCATATAATGAACTAAAATTCCCATAATTCCAAGCTAGCATATCTCTTTTTTGAATACAAAATAGGGAGATGGCATGGTGAGTTGCCGTAGGAGAAGAGCAGACAGAGTCAAGAGAGGACTCAGCCCAGAATCATTATGTGTCCATAAACACTCCAAGCCTAGCCCTCCCTTTGAATTCCATTAACTCTTATCTAGCATTAGTTTAGTGTTGACCTCAGTTGATCAGATTCTTGTGTATAGATTAGAGCAATAAATCTTCTGAACTAGAATTCACAAGCGATCCTGATTCTTTGTGCCTGAGAGTTGCTGTAAGAAAGAAAGCCACCCTCTTCAATATATCTATAGCTCACTTGTGTATCTTTAGACTATGGTTTTCTTTGTTCATTTGCCAGGTATTGTAATATTTCATCTTAGAATCATTGTTTACTTAAAAGAGTTGTCCTCAGTCCCAGAGCAACATGCAGCCAATTTTACAATTTGTATACTTCTGGCCAGGAGAAGAAAACAGAATGCCTTCTATTAAATCCACATGGCCAGTGGTCAGGGATTGTGAAAATCATACTCCCTCACAACTGGAGGAACATGATTGCTACTGTATCACTGACTATGCAATCCATCAACTAAAAGCTTTTTTTTTAAAGCATGGATTGCATACTGGACATTACAATGATTATTTTTCAGAAAAAGAAAAAAACAAGGAAATATCATTATAACTCTATCAAATTAAACATTACATTATACATTATCCAAAGGATGAAGAAATTAAAATTAGACTGACATTGCAAGTTAATGTAAAAATTCATTTCAACATAAGAATTTAAGAAGAAATCTACTGAATCAGACCAAAAAGCTTACTGAATCTAGTTTAGCATTTTCTTTGTACCAGTGGCAAGTCAGATGATGCACAAAGTCCATCATCAAGATATGACTTATTTCTTTATATCTATTTCTGTATCAACATCCATATTATTTACCTATCTAGAAATTTGGAATACAGAACAGCTAGCAATCTAAAGTAAAACTGGGTGTGACATCTTGCAAGATTTTGATAATTTGACAATTTATATTATTTCATTGTAGCATCTTCTATATTGTAGAATAATCTTCAACATCTCCTGAGTATGTGGTGGATAGTCTGGCACCCCTGAGCATATCGTCAACACTTACATTAGTTATGGTATTACAGCTACACCACTATTATGGCTATATTGTAAGCAACCTCTATTTGTAACCTACTACAGACAAGAAACCAAATGTAAATGTAAACCTTTTTTTGTTTGGGTGTTGCAGTACATGGAATTATTGTGCATGCATCCGTGCCATATTGTTTGAGAGGATTTTCAGTGCAGTGTTTGCACTGGTGAAGAAAAATGTTATCTGAAATATTTATGTTCATCATTTTATATGTATGCAGTTGCCTCATTTCCTCTAATGAACTGCACCAGGTTGATTTATGCATCAGTAGTTTAGATTTTTGCTGATGACCTTTTCATATGTTCTGGAAATTTAGCCAGCTCTAGTGCATTATGTAATTTTTTCTTTTCTTTTTGCAACACAGTATTGAAAAATTACCTGTTTTGAGCATTTGTGTGACAGAATGTGCTTGGGTGGTATTGGCTATAAGGAAGATCACCTATGAGAATGGTAGATTATGTAGTGATACAAATTTAGGGTTTTTTTCATCCTCAGATTTGCAATACTTCCACAGAGCCAAAAAGAATTGAGAGTAGCAGCAGTGACAGTAGTTGAGACTCATGAGGTTTGATGGAAAGTGAGTCCACAGCGAAAGATCCTGGCATCCCTCTCACAAGGGATAACTTTGAGGGCCTGGGAAAAATGCTGTCAGATGACAGCTGAGATGTTGTAAATGCTAGGAAAGGGGTTTTGGAATTGGGTGGGGGGGCTGTATAGTCTGGAGTATGAGTAGTAGAGGCTTGATATATAAAGGCCTCTGACTGTCATTGGCTTAACTGGTCATCTCTGGTGATGCCAGTCCATCTCATTAACTACTATACCAAACAGTCACCATTTCTTGGTATATACGTGTATGAGTGGGGGCAATACCTGCAACCTTGAAAGAAACTGAAAAGCCTTCAATTTTTCAGTCTTTCTAGGGAAGTTATTGAACTAGGGATGTAGTTATCAAGTATTCTACTACAGATAAATTATCTGGATCATTCCAGATAATCAGTCAGGTACCGCATGGGCAGAAATGGCATTGGTTGCAGTACTGGATGATCTTTGTTGGGATTTGGACTTAGGCAATGCTTCTAGTCTTTTAGGACAAGTTTTTTTTAAATAGAATTCTAATGGCAAAAGGTTTGAACAAACTACAAGGCAGCTAAAGATTTAATGAACATTGTGAGGTAAATGAAATTTGTTGCCAACGGATTGGTGAGAATAGAATAGAATAGAATAGAATAGAATAGAATAGAATAGAATAGAATAGAATAGAATTCTTTATTGGCCAAGTGTGATTGGACACACAAGGAATTTGTCTTTAGTGCATATGCCCTCAGTGTACATAAAAAGACAAGATACACTCATCAAGAATCACAGGGCACAACACCCAGTGACAGTCATATGGTACAATAAGCAATCAAATCATACTAGGAAACAATCAATATCAATATCAATATTGATCAATATCAAGCAACAAAGTTACAGTCATGTAGTCACAAGAGGGAGGAGATGGGCAACAGGAACAATGAGAAGACCAATAGCAATAGTAATGCAGCCTAATGTGAATAGTTTGACAGTGTTGAGGGAATTATTTTTTTTTAGCAGAGTGATGGCGTTCGGGGAAAAACTGTTCTTGTGTCTAGTTGTCTTGGTGTGCAGTGCTCTATAGTGTCATTTTGAGGGTAGGAGTTGAAACAGTTTATGTCCAGGATGTGAGAGGTCTGTAAATATTTTCACAGCCCTCTTTTTGACTCATGCAGTATTCAGGTCCTCAATGGAAGGCAGGTTGGTAGTAATTATTTTTTCTGCAGTTCTAATTATCCTCTGAAGTCTGTGTCTGTCTTGTTGGGTTGCAGAGTCAAACCAGACAGGTAGAGAGGTGCAGATGACAGACTCAATAATTCCTCTGGAGAATTGTATCAGCAGCTCCTTGGGCAGTTTGAGCTTTCTGAGTTGGCGCAGAAAGAACATTCTTTGTTGTGCTTTTTTGATGACGTTTTTGATGTTGGGTGTCCATTTTAGATCTTGTGATATGGTAGAACTTAGAAATTTGAAGGTCTCTATGTTGATTACTGTGTTGTCTAGTATTGTAAGAGGTGGTAGTATGGGAGGATTTCTCCTAACGTCCACCACCATTTCTACGGTTTTGAGTGTGTTCAGTTCCCGATTGTTCCAGTCGCACCACAAGGCTAGTTGTTCAACCTCCCATCTGTATGTGGATTCATCATTGTCTAGAATGAGACCAATCAATTGTATCATCTGCAAACTTCAGTAGTTTAACAGATAGATCATTTGAGATGCAGTCATTGGTATATAAAGAGAAGAAAAGTGGAGAAAGCACACATCTTTGGTCCCCTGTGCTAATTGTACAGGTATCTGATGTGATTTTGCTTAGCTTTACCTGCTGCTTCCTGTCTGTTAGGAAGCTTGTGATCCACTTACAAGTGTGTTCAGGTGCCGCTAGCTGATTTAGTTTAGTTAGAAGAATGTCCGGTATAGATGGTATTGAATACTGAACTAAAGTCTACAAAGAGGACCCTTGCATAGGTCTTTGGAGATTCAAGATGTTGTAGGATGTAGTGCAGAGCCATATTAACAGCATCATCTGTTGATCTATTTGCTCGGTATGCAAATTGCAGGGGGGTCTAACAGCATATCCATTATGGTTTTCAAATGGGACAACACTAGCCTTTCAAAGGTTTTCATAACTACAGATGTTAGAGCAAGTTAGTCAGGAAGATCGAAGGGAGCAGGGTTGTTTTGCTCCCCCTCTTCCTTAGTCTATTCAAAATTCCTGCTCTTTTACCTCTTTTATGGTGTCTCCTGTGTTTGCTTTTGGTAATCCATAGCTCTGGGGAATTTGCTTCTTCCTGTGTTAGAATCTCCTCCGCGGTTTGTAAATACAGGGTGGTGGTGGTGGTGGTGATGGTTGAGGTTATGGAGAAAGCTGCTCCTTAAAGAAACATTACTTAATTCTTAGCAGATGGTCTCATGAGTATGAAATCCATAGAGAAACACAAAGAATAATAAAAAATAAAAAAACCATTCGAGAGCATTTCACCGAGGCAGCCATCAGCAGCGCCATCTTGGAAAATAAGTGCATGAGAATATGGTCATTGAAGTGTGAGGTGTGTGGTTTCCTCTTATATAGGGGTGGCAAAACTTGAATTTGTTCCTTTGAACAGGCAGTGTTTTTTTCTGGCCAATAGTCTGGTTGAGTGCTTTTATTCAGCCCTCTTCTTTTTGCATTTGGGAGGAGATATTAACTCTGCCTCTTTGTTTTCTAAGGCCAGTGATTGTTGCCTCTCTTGGTTGCTAGGCAACACTTCCTACTGAATTCCCTCAGGTTGATGTTCCTCTTCATCTTCAATTCTAAGCTGTCCTTGACAAACATTTCCCACCAGTTAGGGTGGTGGTTGTCCCTTTGCAGAACCTCTGGGCTAATTGGTAGGCCCAGATCATATTATCCCAACATTTGTTCTCCATCTGTCCTAGATTATCTGTGCTGGAAGTCTTAGTACAGGATAAAATATTAAGGTGATATGAGAACATCTTCCCTCCAAATGGTTAGTGAAGGGTCTTTATGCTGGGGTAAGCAGGATGAATAGAGAGTCTTCAGTATAACATCTTACCTTCCCTTTTTACAATGTGCACTGCCAGGGACTGGCCGTGAATAGTTGCTTCGCTTATATTACAGTCAGACTATTGAAGGGTTATGTTTGTTTGTTTTAATCTCTTTAGCCGCCTAACTCATCATAGTGACTCTGGGAAGCTAACAACAGTTATCAACATAATGTACACCACAACAATAAACATACAATTGGCAAGTGAAATGAAACTAGAAATGATCCATTGATATATCTATCTTATGGATTTTGACTTTGTCAGAAGTTTTAATGGGGAAATTGAGCTACCTTGATAAGCAACTGAGACACTGCCTGGTTCTCGAGAATGAGGAAGGGCTGATTTTCCAAGCCTTCTGAACCTCAGCAACTTTAAGATAATCATAATCATAAGTTTATTTGTCAAGCATATATAAGATAACAGGTATAAGTATAAACATAATTTGAATACATGAAAAGAGTAAGTAAAAAGGAATATTAGGACAGGGATGGTAGGTACGCTGTTGCACTTATGCGTGCCCCTTACAGAATGCTCTTAGGAATGGAGTGAGGTCAACAATAGACAGTTTAAGGTTAAAATTTTGGGGGTTTGGGGAAGAAACTACAGAGTCAGGTAGTGCATTCCAGACATTGACCACTCTGTTACTGAAGTCATATTTTCTGCAATCGAGTTTGGAGCGGTTTACCTTGAGTTTGTATCTATTATTTGCTCATGTATTGTTGTGGTTGAAGTTGAAGTAGTCATTGAAGTAGGAAGGACATTGTGGCAGATAATTTTATGTACTATGCTTAGGTCAGACTGAACTTGTCGTAGTTCTAAGTTGTCTAAGCCCAAAATTCTGGTGGCATAAGGTATTTTATTGCAGTTAGAGGAATGGAGGACTCTTCTCGTAAAATATCTCTGGACTCTCTCAATTGTATTTATGTCCGATATGCAGTGTGGGTTCTAGACAGATGAGCTGTATTCAAGAATTGGTCTAGCAAATGTTTTGTATGCTCTAGTTAGTAGTACAACATTACCAGAGAAGCAGCTACGTAAGATTAGGTTAACAACTCTTAATGCCTTTTTGTCAATGTTGTTAACAGTAGGCTCTGGCACTTAGATCTTTAGAAATGAGTACTCCAAGGTGACAGAGTGAGGGTCATCTACAAGGTCATGTCCATCTAATTTGTATTTTGTGTTTTGATTTTTTTTTTTTTTGCCAATGTTCAAGACAGAGCATTTGTTGGTTGATATTTGAATTGCCACTTGTTAGAACAATCTGACACATAGTCAAGGTCTTTTTGAAGGGTAGTTGCATTGTCGGTGGTGTTGAATAGTTTAATATCGTCAGTGAAGAGAACACAGTTGCTTTTAATATGATCACAAAGGTCATTTATGTAAAGTATGAAGCGTTTTGGACCTAAAACACTGCCTTGGGGAACACTGCTATTAACATGTACGGATTTGATAGAGCGCTTTGATAGGTGGACTTTAACTCCCAGAATTCCCCAGGCAGCATGAGAGCTGAAGTCTACATATAAAAGTTGTTGAGGCTGAGAAACACTGGTATAGTTCATATTGACTAACCAGGAGGAATAGTCTGGAGCTGTTAAGAGCTCCCTCTGCCTGACTTTATTTCAAGTAGTAGATGAAAGATCAGTTTGCTAGTTGGCTAGTCTGAGGCTTCCAGTCAGGCTAGAAATGCCCTAAGAGAAACAAGTAGAAAGTAAGCCTGCAGTACTCCTTTGCTATTCTCTTGAAGTTGCTAGCAAACAGTTACCTTTCCCCTTAAGATTGACTTTTTTTTTTAATCTTATTGTGTTTAAGTGGAAAGGGTGGTTAGATGGCCAAATGCAGTGTACAAGCCTAGGTATCATTAAATACAATCAAGGTACATGTTTTTGGTAGAGTCTCTATTTGCGTGAGAAATCTCACATGCAGAAGCTATAATTTGTAGAATTCCTAGCCGCATGGCTAAAATCTACAAACTGCAATCCCAACAAGCACGGAGACAAAATTGAGTAACTTTCTGTTAAAATTACATTTTAAATGTTATGTATTTTTTTTTTAAAAAAAGACAGAAAAACATAAATAATTCATTACATTTTGGTTCTTTAATGTGTTCAAATGCATCATATATTAAATTTAAAAGCTGTTATTACTATAATGTTATAGTCATTGTAATGTTTTCAGGGCTTTTTTATTTCGGCTCAATGTTTGTTTTTAAAGAACTCTCTATCAGCTTGGAATCTGTTTGCCTTATGCTCTGGAGAATTTATCCCAGATCCTTTTACAATGGATTGTAAAAAATGTGGAATTAATGAAGACTTAGAAGATGTTTTTAAAAGTAAAATCACAAGCTTCAGGAGATATTAAAACGTACTTCATGCAAACGTCAGGATTATTTTCATTTTATATAAGAAACTATTTACACCATTATTTATGCTAAGAAAAGAATCAGCCAAAAAATATAGAAGTTGGAATATACAACTTGTTTCATTGCACTAAAAGGATTTAAAGACATATGTTCTAGTGCTTTTCTTTCAGAGCTCTGTTACTGAAGCAGACTTATTTTCTATATGATTATCTTGTTTATTGCTTCCCATTAAAGTAATTCCTTTCTTCTGTTGGTTTTGTTTAGATGCATTTGAAAGATAATGCTTGGATCAGCCTCTTCATTTTTTTATAGCAATTCACAATACAATCTTATACTTGTCTACTCAGAAGTAAGTTAACATTGCATTGTGTAAAATTTCACATATCACAAGATAGATGCTTTTTCTGACAGTCAGATTAATCAAATATAAAGAAAGATACAATGTAAAAGAATTCTAAAAACTATTGGCCATCAAATCCTTAATGTAAATAGTATTAACAAAAATGTAATACACTTAGTGGACACTTATGATTTGTTGTTGCTAGGTTTTGCAGTCATCTGATGGTACACTTTGCAACAGTATTGTTTAGCAATGGAAATTTATTGGTTAAATTCCAGTTATTTATTTATTTTGGAATTCCAGTCCAATTACTATTGTTTAGTGAGGATTGTCTTGTAAATCCTTTTAAAAATATTTTTAAAGTTTCATTTGAAAAGATTTGCATTGATTTTTATGAAGCTTAGCTATAAATTTTATCCCTTTATAAGAGATGTTTGGGGGAAAAATGCTACACACGTTGATGCTTTTTCTTTACTGTATTATGGAAGTCAGCTTTTTGAAATCTTGCTTATAACATGGTTATTAACAGATCTGCCTGTTCCTATGTTCTGTATCAGAAAACAGAGATAATTATACTTTTCCTACCAACTGAATGTACATAGCTGTAATACTGACCTACATCAGTTCATTTAGTGACCATTTGAAGTTACAATGGCACCAAAAAAGTGACTTACAATCATTTTTCACACTTATAACCTTTGCAGCATCCCCATGGTTACATAATCAAAATTCAGACACTTGGCAATTGACTCATATTTATGATGGTTGGAGTGTCCCGGGATCACCATTTGCGACCTTCTGACAAGCAAAGTCAATGGGGAAGCCAGATTTATTTAACAACCATGTTATTAACTTAACAACTATAACAATTCATGTAACAAGTGTGGCAAGAAAAGTCGCCAAATGGGGCAAAACTCACTTACCAAATGTCTCACTTAGCAACAGAAAGTTTGGGCTCAATTGTGGTCATAAGTCAAGTACTGCCTGCAAAACAGGAAGTTGAGCATATTGTTAATATTCATTGGCAACTGAAATATATTTAGTTTTATTCTTTACAACCTAGCAGAATGTTGGGAAAAAATTATATGAAGAAGGCTCCGTCTCTCCATCCTTCTCTTTGTCAGCAGGGAAGCTCTCTGAAAATTGAATAGAATGGGACCAAATTTAGAATGGTAGGAGAAGCCAGCAAAGACTAAATTTGAAAATGGGATAAATTCTCATTGGACCCAAAAGAAAAAAACCGCCCCCAAATCGTCTCTATGGGAAAAGTGGTTGGGCGGCCAGTAAGAATGGTGGCAACGGCTCCATTCAGAATCCCCCTTCTTGTCCCCCTCCTGGTCATATGATCAGGAGGGGGATGGAATTTGTATTTATTTATTTGTTTATTTGTTTATTTATTTATTTGTCAAAAACGTATTAGGTAATTTATATAAGTATAAGCATGAATTGAATACATAAAATAGATACAAATAGAGGAAACATTAGGACAGGGATGGTAGGCACGTTAGTGCTCTTATGCACGCCCCTTAAAGACCTCTTAGGAATGGGGTGAGGTCAACAGTCTAAGGTTAAAATTTTGAGGATTTTGGGATGAAACCACAGAGTCAGGTAGTGCATTCCAGACATTGACCACTCTGTTGCTGAAGTCATATTTTCTGCAATCGAGTTTGGAGCGGTTTACCTTGAGTTTGTATCTATTATTTGCTCATGTATTGTTGTGGTTGAAGCTGAAGTAGTCATTGGCAGGTAGGACATTGTAGCAGATAATTTTATGAACTATGCTTAGGTCATACCGAAGGCGGCGTAGTTCTAAGTTTTCTAAGCCCAGAATTTCAAGTCTGCTGGCATAAGGTATTTTGTTGCAAGCAGAGGAATGGAGGACTCCTCTTGTGAAATATTTCTGGACACGTTCAATTGGCACATACAGCTTACCTTGAGCTCTCTTATGCATAAATATAAACAAGGAGTGGTACAAGAGGAGAGTAGGAACACACACCACAAACTAATATGTTATTTTGTTACTTAAAAGAAAATAAATATGTTGTCTATGGCCCCTTCTAGTAAAGGGCTGGAAAGAATTGCAGAAGCCACTCTCTGCCTCCCCCCCCCTTACCTTGATTGCAATACAATAACATGTGGAAAATAAATTTTGTAACCAGTTTTGAAATCTCTCTGCCCATAGCTATCCATCTCTGAAAACAGAACAGAATAGAATAGGACCAAATTTAGTGTGTAGGAAAAGCTGGGAAAAGAAACATTGATTTTGAAAATGAGCCAGATGTAGCTGAGGATTAGAAAGGAACCCCCCACCCCCACCCCAATCGCTATAGGAAAGGCTGCTGGACTTGGAATGCTGCCAAACTCTTTCTTCTACACGCTACTTCCCTTAGTCATGTGATCCAGAATGGAGCTGTTATTAAGGACTGGAAAGAATTCTAGAAACCATGGCCTCCGTGCTTAATTATATTATGAGTTAAACTTGTTATGGCTGAAATGAAGGAACGTGGGCCAAATTTTTTTGATTGGCTGAAATCAATTTGTTTAAATGTTAATTATAATCAGGGAAGCAGAAGTATTCCACATTGCCTCTCAAACATAATAAATAGAAATGGCACGAAAACAGGAACTCGTGTTCTGTTTGTGCCAACTACATAGTATTTTTGCAAGGACAATAAGCATACTGGAACGCAGTGTATGCCCTGTTATGTATTCCTTTGCAAAAACCTGTGGTGAACGCCATTCCTTAAATATGCTTCAAGACAGTGTCTACCGAATAGTGGTTCCATCTTTGTTAATAAACTCCTGTACAAACTTACATGGTTTTACTTCCAGCCACTGGAAGAACTGACGATCTGTCAACCTTATCATATTTGTTAATTCATTACAATATTAGAACAAAGTGATTGGAAAGTCATCATTTTACATGGTTACTCAATATAAGGACAATGCACAGCTGGTTGTCCTGAATCTGGTTGTCTGTCCAACATGAAGAAACTTGAATGCTGTTGCCATGGCACTAATGTATCTCCAGAGAAAAAGCAGGATTGTGGTGGTGTAATAATGCATCCATACTTTGTAACCACAGCAAACAATGCACACACATATGCAAATCTTTAAGCATTGGAAAAACTATGGTTTTCCACAGAGTCATATCTATCAATCCATTTCCTGTAGAAAGAAAGCAGAAATTGCCTATTTTGCAGATTAAGGTCTATTCAAGGAGGGTGTGAGGGGAGGGAGTAGAAGATGGAGAGAGTGATGACAATTGAGAAGAAAAGAATAAATCAGTCTTGCCACCATTCATGACTTATTCATGAGACATGTGAATTTTGCATTTAAATTTGACATTCTCATGATCTCAATATTGTATATGCAAATCTAAAGATTTCTGCATCCCTTCACATTCTTGATTCAAGTGTGCTCTTAGTTTTTCCAGTCATCCTGTGAATACAAAACTAGCAAAGCTCATAGAGATATTGCTTTATGCAGAATTCAGTCTTTTCCACAAAACCAAATAATGCATTTGATACAATGGATTAATTTTAAAGAAAGCATAAGTGTTAATTGTTAATATTGAATATTGGTTGGTTTATATGCAAATTGCTTTTGCCTCCTCTAATGTTGTATCATGGTCAAATAGAGATCTCTGTGAGTCTAACTGTCAATATATGTAGAAATACTGTAATTCAAAACAGCATAACAGAATTAGAAAGAATGGTCAGTGCCATACAACTAGAAACAAATCTCCTATACAGTTTGCTATAGCTCTCTGAACATTTTCAAATGCATATATTTAAAATATTGGTTAAATAAAAATAAGAAATATTATCTTATTTACTATCACTTTTGAAATTATAGCATTAGCAAAGAAATAATAATTTGACAGTTGCTAACAAGCAAGCAATTTTATTCCCTAAACTGAATAAACTAAGGTCACAGAAGTGGCTGTGTGAAGTTTATAGAGAGAAGTAGTAGATATCATGAATAGAATAGAATAGAATAGAATAGAATAGAATAGAATAGAATAGAATAGAATAGAATAGAATAGAATAGAATAAGAGTTGGAAGGGACCTTGGAGGTCTTCTAGTCCAACCCCCTGCTTAGGAAGGAAACACTATACCACTTCAGACAAATAGTTATCCAACATCTTCTTAAAAACTTCTAGTGTTGGAAGTTGATAATGCTTGATATTTTTATTTTTAATTACTAAGCATTATAACTATTCTATCTATGTTTTATTTTTTATTATTTATTTGTCAAGAACGTATTAGGTAATTTATATAAGTATAAGCATGAGTTGAATACATAAAATAGATAATCTAATGTTAGATTGCTTATATGTTATGCAACTGTTTCCTGCAAAAGAGTATAACAAATTTCTCCAAGTTTAGCAGAAATTTTTAATCCTTTATCAGGCCAGATAATATTATTTTAAGCGTCCTGATTATTCACTTGAGGCACAAATGACAAGCTCCTTCTATTACATTTTAGTCACATTATGCAAAGACCAGCTCTTTTGTGAACTCAGTAATGTTGGGAAAAGTGGAAGAAAAGATTTTATTTAATATTTTTAAATTATTTTAAATTGATGTTTATTCTGTTTTTAATTAGGCTGTACACCGCCCTGAGTCCTTCGGGAGAAGGGCGGTATAGAAATAAAATTATTATTATTATTATTATTATTATTATTATTATTATTATTATTATTAAGAGAAGGAAGAGGATGACCGGCAGGAATGGTTATACCTATGAGACACCCGAAGAGGCAGATTGTTTGCAGAATGGTATAGCTGTATGGTTGCTAAGAGTTTTGACACCAACTTGACAGCAAATAATTCATTAATCAAATCTATCACTTTAAACAAAAACTAAGATTCACTGAAAAAGAATAATAGGCATGCAGAAAAAATGCAGCTCAAAAATTATATATGATCAGTAACAGTGGAAACAGTATGCCATTGCCCCGATTGTGGCTTTCCCTTAGGAATTTGATTGTCTAAATCAATATTTCTTAACCTCAGCAACTTTAAGATGTGTGGATTTCAGTTCCCAGAATTTCCTCCCCAGCAAGTCCATACATTTTTAAATTGCTAGGTTGAGAAACTATAATTTAAATTAGACTGTAATGATCTATTTTAGATATATATAATTATTTAGTACTAATAACAGCTACAATTCAGATAGATCTATCTCCTTTATCCTTAAATAATTTATGCTGATAAAATCTGTGTTTTATCAGTATAAATTATTTAAGGATAAAGGAAATAGATCTATTTAGTATATTTAGGATTATTATTTTTTGAAGAATATCTCTATGCATATATGTACAGGCCTGGTTTAAAATTAATGTAAACTTCCTCTCTGCTTACTAATATCTAAATGTTAAACTGCTAAAAAAGAAAGGGCAATAACCCTTGAAAAATAAATTGACAATTCCTCTCAAAAACAAAACCAAACCAATAACAAAAGGAAGAAATTAGAACTATCTAGAGCCATTGTGCTACAAAATAAATTAATGTTGACATTTAATCCTAGATCCATTGATGAATCTCACAACAGATGGTTTTTCTTGTGACTGTAGCAAATGGTAAGCAAATCTGCTAAAAAAAAGTGAATCAATTTCCAAAGTTCAGCTACCAACATTTTTCATAATTGAAATTAAAAATAAAACATTTTTGGATACCTCCTCAGTGCTAAATATTTTGAAAGGTATATAATGCATCTTTGTTCTGTTTTTTTTTTAAAAGTAGCATTTGCTCCACTGAAGAATCTGAGAGAGTTTAATAAAGATTTCATTTTGTTTAAGTTAGAAAATGAGAGTATTGCCAGCTGTCACATATTTTGGCATTAATCAGATACTTATTCATCTGGGAGAGAGTTTGATTTAACTCAGTGGGGCTTCTTTTTAAATATATATAAAGGCTTTTTCATACTTTCCATACATTTTTAAAAATATTACATAAAAGATCAGATAAATAGATGA